AAAGGAGATGCTTGTTTTCTGATGACAATCAACAGGCCAGGAAGAGTTTAGCATCTTAAAGGTGTAGAGCTGGAAAGCATCCTAGTTTAACTTCCTCATCTTACAGACAAGGAAACTGAGGCTCAAAGAATGGAAATGACTTGCCCCAGGTTAAATGAGAGTAAGGGTTTGAGTAGAGATATTAATGCCTCTTCTCTCTCTCTCTCTCTCTCTCTCTCTCTCTCTCTCACACACACACACACACACACACACACTACACACACACAGAGTACCACCACACTATGGTACCACCATGTATGTGTGTGAGTGTGAGTGTGTAGTGTGTGTGTGTGTGTGTGTGTGTGTGTGTGTGTGTGTGTGTCCCTCTCTCATTCCACCTTCCATCCAGCACAATGACATTGGACAGCTCCCTTCCAGGCTCCTAAAATAATAGGTCTGGTCTGTGGCTGGCTGACTGTCCAATACACAATCAAAACCATGCTGGCCAGATATGTGCAACTGTTTCTCTGTTATTGCTGATCCATCTGTCACTTTCCATACTTTAGATTGGAAAGAGCATCCACTTTGCCGAGCAAGTCCACATAATAATTAAGGGAGAGAGGGGGAAAAATATTTCTTTTCCTATTGTTTTTAACCCTTTCAGCCTTTATTGTAGACTCCATTTCTCTCTATTTTATCTTTCTTAGAGTAGAAATATATTTTCTAAAAACAGCTTTCCTAATTTTACGAGTGTGTCTTATTTCCAAAATCTGTAATGACTCCCCATCACCACCACCACCACCACCACCACTGAATGTTGATTCCATATCTATGGTTTCTCATTATGCCCTCTGTCATCTGTACTCCCAACATTCTCAATGTAGGGACAAATATCTGGGATGGTTTATTTCATTGCTATGAATACTCAGAGGAATAACAATTACAGGGACAAAAGAAAAACCTAGAAACAGTTCCTCTAGTCTTTAATATAACACTTAATTTTTCCATTAATATATGAAAACTCTCCAGAGACTCCTTAGAAGCTTGCATTGCTATTTTTATTTTATCAATAATAGGTATGTTTTTACATAGTGCTTTTTCCACTTTCCCAGGGAGCTCAAAGTAGTTTATGCAAATCATCTAGCCATTGTCACATTAGCCTTGAACCAGAAAGAACAGCATCATCTCTGTAAAAGAGAAGAGAAATCTAGGCTAAGCTCTCAATGCCAACTAAGGGGTGGATTCCCTATTGCACCCAGTTCTGGGAGTGGATAGGTCATGGAGATCTCAAAAGCGTATAATGTTAGAGTTGGAAGGATCCTTGGAGATCTCTGAGGCCTTACCTCCAAAAGGTACGCCCTGGTCATAGAATTAGTGTCAAAGTCAGATCTGGACCCCAGGCCTCCTAAGTTCCGTGATGACATTTAACCCAAAAAGCTCTTAGAATCATGTTTCAAGCTGGAAGTCACCTTAGGCAGGATCTGGTCCAAATCCCTTATTTTTGTCCAGCATTCTTTGTTTTCTCCAGTGGTGCAAAATTGATTTACATACTCCCAAACTAGGTTGAGTGATTTCTGATTTTTAAAAGTACCAAGGACTAATTCAAAGGAATAGAAAACATCAGCAAAGTCTAATCTAACCACCACAGCAACACCTTAATATCTAAAAGAGAATTTAAAAAGCAAATCCCTCTAAACAAAATAGAGTGAACCCTATATAGAAGAGCTTCATTCTCTGTGTTAAGTGAAAAAAATCTAGCAACTTATAGTGGAAATGACAAAAACCAAACATAGTTTTTGAGATGTTTCTAGGTATTGATACTATACTGGCTAAAGAACTTCTTTCCTACATAATGTTTGTCTTGATATTACTCTCTCACTTAAAAGAAAATAACTTAATGAAATGAGCTTTCTGGAGATTCTTAGTTCAAACCTTTCAACTCAATTCAATTCCTCACACAGTGCTATCTGCCTGCACTTGTGTGAGGTACTAAGGATGTAGAGCCAAAAAATGGAATAGTCCTTGCCCTCAAGGGCTTACATTTTACATATCTATGTCTTCTTATTACTAAATACAAAATAAAATACAGCAGAGAAAGAACTGGTTCTGGGGTCAAAAGAGCCAAGTTCAAATCCTACCTTCCACATTTATTACCTGAGTTACTTGGGAAAGTGGCAGCCTTCTTGGGCCTCTGTAAAATAAGGAGATTGGTTTATATCAGGGATTCTTAACCTGGATTCCACAAACTTTTTTTTTTTATTTAATAATTGAATTTTAGCATCAATGGTTTCCTTTCTGATCGTATGCATTTTATTTTATGTATTTAAAATGCATTGTTCTGAGGAGTCCCTGAGCTTCAACAGACTGTCAAGAGGGTTCCATGACACACACAAAAATTAGAAGCCAGGGCTGTAATGGTCATTACCGCTTTCATGTAAAAGAGAAAGCCTTTGATAGTTTAAAAGATGCCCCTTTTTCTTGTACTAACCAAGAGCCCCTTTCCTATCCCTTTTGAGGAGGTGTGGGCAGGGAGTATTACTACTAACTGAGGAGAATCAGAAAAGGCCTTTGCTTAGGGGGTAGCCAGTACTTAAGTTAAGTCCTAAAGGCACATAGGGATAAAATCCAACTTTGACTTAATTCCCCCAGCATTGGCTCTGAGATGTTTTAGTGGGAAGGTCTACGAAAAATAATGGCTTCTCAGAATTCTCTGGTGAAAACGAATTCTGACAAAAATGGATTCCAACAAACATAAGCTGTGAGAGCAACATCTTTCAAAACTGCAGGAGTATACTGTGTCCTGAAACTTGGAGAGATTACATTAGCAAATAAAGGGGGGGAAATAGGGAAGCGCGCACGCACGTGCACACACACACACACACACACACACAACACACACACACACACACACACACACACACACACACACTTACACTCCTGTCTAGCCCTGAGACTTATTATAGCAATCAACTCTTCACTAAGCCCAATGTACTTTTCTTCTTAACTTATAAATAATTAGCCAGAACTTAATAGTGAGGATAATGACTAAGTTAAAACATGGATCCTTTCAGCTTTTGGAAGCTTTTCACTGAGAGCTGCAATAACCACCAGGACCCTAGCATTTGTTTTCACTTGGCTCATCTGCCATACCATTGTCCAGTTCAAAGATAGAAATTGAGACACCTGCCAAAATGGGGGGGGGGAGTCAGGGAAGAGGGATAGCATGAAGGAGAGAAGTAGGGCTTAATTTAAACACTCTTTGTCCTGCATGCAATAACAATGAAAAACAAAGAAAGAAACTAGACTGGGCCATGAATGGAAATTTACACCAAGGAGCAAGACCTTCAAAGCACATATCAGTGTCACCTCCTTCAATTCTACAGCACAAGATGTGGGGACCATCAAATGACATTGTGGCTGAGGGTTTCAGAGCGTATCTCTAGCATTCCAGCACTATGCCCACGTCATTTGGGATGTTCAAGTGTGGGTCCTCATAGGGCATTCATCTTTTGCCTTGTTATTGGCTAGCTTCGTTTCTTGTCCTCATTGGCAAATGTTGATTAAGGATCATGGGATCTGTGGCAACACATGAGGGATTTTCAGGGTTTTGTTAGGTAGAATTCCCACCTACAATGTGCTAACATCCTGGCTGTATGAATCTTGACCGGGGTGGGGAATAAGCATTTTTAACTGCCTACTATGTGCTAGGAACTGTGCTGAACATTTTAGAAATATTATCTCATTTGATCTTCACAACAATCCTGAGAGGTAGATGCCATTATTATCCCTTTTTTTACAGTTGAAGAAACTAAAGACAGGCAGAGGTAAAGAGACTTACCCAGGTCACACTGTTAGTGTCTGAGAATGGATGGGGTAGGGCTGAGTCCTCTTTATTATTGTTTAACTTTTGTGACATACTCCTCCATTCTCCCCACTTTTTTTCTTTTTTGGTACAGAGATTCGATTACGCTAGTTGAGTATATAGTGAGGAAATTTCCTCTACCATTGCAGATATGCAACTGCTCTGCAGTCTAGTCTTAGAAAATCACCTAGAAGCCCTTAAAGGTTAAGTGATTTACCCAGAGTCACACAGCCAATATGAATCAGAGGCTAGAGATGAACCAAGGTCTTCCTAACCCCCAGCCTAGCTCTTGGACGATTTTACCTATCTAATGGCTACTTCCTAAAGTATAATAGCACATAGTAGGTGTTTCATAGATACTTACTAATGACTAAAAAGTTGCTTATCTTTTCCCCACCCTTTAAAAAATATATCTTCAGTTGACTCCACCATCACCTTAAGCTATTAGCATATATGCCTGCTTCCTTTCAATGCTTGGTTGATTTTATTGTCAAACTCCTAGAAATAGAGTTCTACATTTGCTGCCTCTAATTTGCCACCATCACTATTTAACCACTTGGCTAATGAAGCCCTTGCAAAAGTAACCAATTTTTTCTTCATCTTAATGGCCTTTTCTCATTCCTCTTCTTTTTTGACCTGTTTGCAGCTTTTCACAATGTTACGTGCTTCCTCCTCCTACCTACTCTTATCTCTCTTGGCTTCTATGATATTGGTCTCTCTTGGTTCCTCTCCTAATTTTGTAGACAAGGCATAAGATAGACCATTCTAGAAGATTCAAAGGGCAGCTAGAGAAGAGTAAGAATCTAGTAAATCTTAATGGGGCTGAGGGAGACACAAAGAAAATTTTAAGTTAGAGAGGTAGAAGTGGAGTAAGTTAAAGACTGGGCTTGGTTCTAAGAGAGAGTTTGAGAGGAAGCATAGAGTTAGGCAGATGACTAAACTAAAGCTACAAAAAGCCAATTTAAAAAGACAAAAACATCTAAGATCCAGTCTTTTGGATCTAGTCTAGGAGAAAAGGTAGAAGACTGTGATCAGATTTTTCTAAGCAGTATAAACTACAAAAATATATTGCTGATGTCTCTTTTTCTTTTAAACAAAGTAGCAGAAAATTATGACATATAATAAGATGATTTAATGGATAGAAAACAAACTTACTTACAGCCATGAATGTGAATGTGAAAACCACAGAATGGAATCTGGAAAAACAAAAGTACATTAGAAATTCTAGATTCCTTTAAGCAGCAAATGAAAATGAAAATGAAAATGAAAAAGTTAAGGCAATACAGGAAGTCAAAGCAGCACAAAGGACAAAATTACCAAAAACTTTACTACAGAGGCTTAAGAAGCAAAGAAATCAGAGGCAAGAGAGAAACACCAAAGGAGAATGAGCATCTATACACTTATAAGAAGTTCAACCCAATGAAAATGTAAATTGGATCAAATGTCAAGAAGAAAGCTTTGATCCTGTTAATTTAATTGACTAATACTTATTTATTAATATGCAGAATAACAGAAGAGTTTCATCCTGGGAAATGAATGAAACTTGAGCATCCATTCTAAAATTGGAAATCAGAGAGGGGAACTAAATCAGATCAATCACTGTTGGCTTGAATGTTTCACGGTTGTGTGCAAATTACTGGCAAAACACTTTACCAGCTTCCTCTCAGACATAAGCCTTCTCAACAGAGGTATCGTGTATCTACTACCCAAAGATAACAATACCGGTGGGTCCTTCCAAATATAGATTATGTATTTATGTACCTTATAAGAAAGAATTCACAGCTTAGCTTGCATCATAAAAATATCTATAAACATTTACAAGAAAACAATCTGTTGGTTGAGAAGCCAAAAGGGTGTGCCAAAAAGTACCAGATATAAAAATTTATTCTCAATTCCGAAGCTATGAGAAAAGCTGTTCTAAAGTGATTACTGCTCTTTGGTGATTATCGCAAAGCCTGTGACTCAGTTCTGCACTCATGCCTTGGTCATATGTAAATATACAAAATGGACCCAAGTATAGTAAAAATACTAAAGCATCACATGTCTACATGAAAACTATTCTCTTTTTTAAATATGCCCAGAACACCATAATGTCAAGAAAAATTTTTGTAAAGTGTAGCATCTTTCATGGAAGCAATTTAAGTCCCCCTCTTGTTCTGCCCATCTTCAAGCCCCCATCGTCTCTGCCAAACAGAAGTATGGCTTCCAAGTTAAAGAAGAAATTCTTTCAAAACACATTAATAATCTCTTGTAGTATGTAACATCAAGATCTATGATTCCACTGAAAAAGAAATGAAACTATTTCTCTGTCTTGTGGAATCTTTCTCCAATGAAATAAAAATGTCATTTGGACCTGATAAGTATGAAATTATTGATGTGTGCCAAGGAAAGACAAAGAATGAAAACTTCCAGCTTGGTTCCTCCAAGCAAGACACATCAAGCATAAAGCTATCAAGGAAAAAGCTGTGCCCACCTATGTCAAGAGAATTACTGGCATCCTGCAATCAAAGCTCAATGTGAAGAAGACATTTAAAACAATTAACACCCAGGCAATACCAGTCTTAACATATACTTTCAAAACTGTGTAATGGGCTATAACAGGTTTGGACAGTTTCCAAAGAAAAGCCCATAAAATATTAATGAAATATATCCCAGGGCAACTATGAAAACTCATCAAAAAGGTGGAGAAATGGTAGACATTCTCAGAGTATATGATAAAGAGATTTAAAAAACTAAAGAAATACTTTTGGAATGAGTATGTTTTGGATTGGTCAAATATGATCAAAAATGGTTTACCTGGATGAAGCCTATGAAGTGGCTAAGATCCAAGATTGGAATGGAAGTGTCCTTCATGAGCAATACTTGGACAAACTTAGCCGGAAATATGGTAACTAGTAATCACAGAACAAAAAGCTGTGGAGTTTGGGTTTTTTTACAGAAATGGATGGGTTTATGACAGCAATTTAAAACTAGGTCATCCCTATCAGCAACTACAGATAAGTTATCCATAAGGAGCCAAGACTTACAGAGCAATTCCAATTATATAAGGGAATGGTAGAAATTGTGTAACATCACTTAGCACTGCAAAAATTTAGCATCTTTCAAATATTTAGGAGGACGCAATATGGTGACTAGGATTATACGCAGTTTACTTTTATAAAGTAACAGATAACAATTCCCTATACTACAAATACAACCCTCAAAACATGCCTAAGAATTCAACAACAATAAAAACCTAGACTATTAGCATAGGAAGAATTGTTGCCCATAATCTCCTGGATATAATATTAATCCATAAAAACTTTAAAACAATATTTACAATATATTTTGCCATGCCAAATGCTCACAGACTCTAAGCTATGTGAAATGAAAAATTTTCAGAAAATAGAAACCCGGTAGGAAGAAATTAAAATCATATGACAGCAAATAGAAGTATATATATGTCTTATCATCTTGTCCTTGGAGTTTTCCCCAAACATGCTTTCACCGAGCCCACAGAAGATGCCCATGTATGCCAATATTTTTGTTCAATTGTAAAAAGTAGCTTTTTCACCTATATAATAGTCCAGAGAAAATTAAGCAGATAATATAACTAGTAGAATAGTGGCTTGGTCCAATACCATTTCTATCTGAACACCATTGAAAAAAATGAGAATAAGGTGATAAAAATAATAATATTCTTATTTTAAAAAACATTTGTATACAGTGATTTAAGGTTTACAAAGTAATTTACATACATTCTCTCACTTGGTGTTCACAAGCCTGTGAGTCAGATGCTTTTCTTATACTCATTTACAAATGAAAAAACTGAGGTTCGATTAGCTTACATGACTTGGCCAAGGTCACGTAGCCAGGATATGAGACCAGATTTGAATCCAGGTCTTCCTGATTCCAAGTTGCCATTTCATTTCTGAGATCTTTAAGCCCTTAATACATGTTTGGTATCAATGGTGACTCAAGGAACTGTACCTCCAAAATCAGAGGGTGAGAAATTGTTGGAGCTCAGGACTTTTCGAAGCTCTGTGAGTTACAGTGGATTCTCATCACCTGGCTGTTAGTTTCTTCTGACTTCAATGAGAATGAGACATAAGTTATCAATCAAGGGCAGAATTTGGCCCTTTATCTCCATTCTCAATTTAATGGATGATGCAGCATTTGTGATGTAAATAATTCATGATGATCAATGGGAACTCACACAAGGTGAAATTGGGTCTCAACTGAGGGATATCCTTAGTAATGATGGACAGGGGAGAGGTAGAGTCATCATCTCTTAATTACATTCTGCTTTCTCTTGGCTTCATCCTGCTTGCTCCTTTCTTCCCTCCCTTTACTATGTATGTTTTCTTAATATGAAAATGAAAAAATTAAACAGACAACTAAGTATGAAATGAAACTTTCTCATACTTTAGATAAAGCCAAACCTAATTACCAGTAGTAGTTCTTCCCACAAATTAGACTTATTCTGGGTAGGGAAGTAATTTGCTTAGCTGCATAAGAAAATCCCTACTTCAAGGCCTTTAATAATGTTGGTTCTCAATTATCCAGCCTTGATTCTACTGTGAAGTGATAATTAGAAGCTGGATGATAACTGGATTACCAAGGACATCTCTCCTGACAGTCATTTAACACCTAATCAAGTGTTGAGGTCGTAAATTATGCATTTCTCAACAGCATCCAGGCCCATTTGAAAACAATTTGAAACAGTTCAAGAGTTCCTGGATGGTCTCTTGTTTCACAGGGCTGTGAAGGGGTCCTACTTAAAGGAATTATCCATTTAAAAGACTCAAAGTTTAAGTCTTTCTGCTTCTCTAATTGGGTTTCAGACCATTATTTTTTGTTACTGATAATTTAGGACAATCTCCTTTTCTCCAACTCCACACCCCACAAAAATAGACTACTTTTGATCAGGTAATGCATAAAATCCCAAGTAAGGCAAGAAAAAGATCCAGCCACCTGGTGATGTTTTTGCTTTTGACTAATGTCTTCTCCAAAAGCCAGACATTCAGGATGAGAATCAGAAAAATGCTTCTGCTTATTTTCTATTCAGAAGTTACTCAATCAAAACAAAACAAAAAAAATTTAAATGAGCAACTTGATCACCAGAAAGCTAAAATTAACTCCCTTTCAGGTGTTTGACAGAGTACACTTTTCAGGTGTGACAAGTTAGGTCAAATTGGCCTCCTTCTGTTGTCCATATACCCCTATATCCCAGTGCTGGTATGCTCTTAGAGCCTCTGTGTGTGTGGGTGGGGGGGGGGGTGTAAGATACTTTTTGCTAAGGAAGGTGTTTTATAAACTATAAAATAGCAAAGAGCACTGAATTTGGAGGCATAGGACTGGAGTTCAAATCCTAGCTCTTCCACTTACTGTTTGAGTGATCTCGGTCAAGTCAATTAAACCCTCCATGCCTCATTTTTCTCATCTGTAAAATTAAAGGGTTAGAGTAGATCAGAGGTATCAAACATGTGGCCACATGCAGCCTGGAGGATAACCAGAACCAAATTTAAACGTAGTTGGGAAATACATAATAAAAATAAATGAAACATACGTAACATTACATTTTAAAACTAATTCAATATGTAGGCCACAGGGATCCTTATGTACAGATTAACAGCTCCTGTTTCTATTTCAGCTTGACACCAATGGACTAGATGACCTCTACCGTCTCTTCATGTAGGCATGATAAAAGAAAATTTTCTTTTGATTGATGGAGGAATAATGATGATAATAGCTCATTTATCTTATCTACATTCATACTTTGAATAGGTAGAAATAAGGAATCTTTCTCCTTTAACATATCCATTCAGTCCACTGGTCTACCTCTATTACACAAAGAAAACTCACCACTTTGACCCCCTTTCCTCAATTTATTTGATTAATTCCTTAGTAAGTACTTAGAAAAGCTAAGGTAACCATGCACAGGTTCAAAGGATGAAGAAGTCAAAGCCAGAGAATGGGAGTTCCCAAGCTGGACACAGTTGATGGTAGCAATAAAGAGTAAAGGGAAAATGGTTTTGTCCTGGAGTATGAAAGTACTTATTTCTCTTCTTCAGTTATGGTTGGGATAACATAGAGACAGGGAGGTAGGAATAAGGAGATAGGGAACTCCTCAGAGCTATGCTCTCAGCCAAGAGGCGAACTAGTCTAATATCGGGTTAATTTGCATCAGTATCAACTTCCCCTCCTAGTCTCATTGAATGAGGCCAGTCCTTCTCTCTAGGTACCCAGAGAGAGACATGA